CATAATACCACTACAGGAAAATAATGTCTTGTTACCGGCGGACAACATCTGCCAGTAACAGCTGAAATATCTCGGAATTTTTCATTTTCTGGCGCATTCCTGATGAAAACACATCCAACGGTAATTTGCGCATAGGAAAATATTAACCGGTACAATTTTACTGTCGGAAAAATTTCCGGCGGTGTTACCGGCATAATTCCGGCAAAAAAAAAAGATGCTACTGCGTCATCTTCTTTAAGCGAATTCCAACATTTAATCCACCGATATTTCTGGCTCAATTGTAGGCAGGAAGTACCAGCACAATTGTATACAAGCTAAGTCATCACATGACCTATTACTTTAGATTGAATTTAAATCATTAAATGAGCTATATCTCAAGCTCGAGCTCAATTAAATGCTCCTTCTCTTATGTAATATAGAATTTATAAGAAACTATCACAGCTAGATTAATGACAGTAATAAGAGATTAGAAAAAAAAAATTTCTTACAGCTTTGCTGCTAACTAAACCATTGAATAAATAACTAAGAAATATATAGAGAACAAATAAAATGCTGTGAGCGAGTATACCTGCAACTTGAGCAATTCCTAAGCTAAGCCCAACAGTGGAGTAAGTGAAGGACATCACTGCTGCAACTATGGAGAGCCACCAGACCTGATCGAAGTCCGGAATCTGAGAGAAAAGTATCTCTGTAATCCCAAATATCATCATATACATGTTGGTTGACATGTGGCATTTATCGCCCTTTCCTTGATTTGCATGTAAACAGTTCGACTTCTTTATCGCCCTGCAAATTCATTAAGCAAGCAACAATATCAGATGACGTATACAAATGTATATATATGAACTCTGAAATTGAGAAACTTACGCCATACTGATAGAAGCTGCAATGGTGTAACCAATGGCGACGCCAAAGAGATTTACATACTGAATGGCTCCACAGATCTTCACCTTTGCTCCTCCTGCAAGCCAACGTACTCTCTAAGACGAGAAATTCTAGTTTTTTTTTCTTTTTGTTTTATAATTATTTTAACATGCAAGAAAAAATTAGCAGAGCTTATTTAAGTTATTTAACTTTATGTTTATTTATTTTGTAGTATTTCCTTTTCTCTTTTCTCTTAAAAAGAAAATTGATATTATTGAAGAGGGATTTCTATTTCATTTCTTGCATGACATCTTTGCTTACTTTAAACTATTTTAGAAAAAAGAAAAAAAGAAGTTGGAATATTTAATGAAGTAAGATATATATTGACCTAAGCATGATTTTACAGCATCCATGTAAGTATAGTTTCTTTTTCCGGTGATGGGGTCGCCGGTTCTGTAGCAGTCGGAGAGGAGGCCGGAAGTGTAGTAGATGACGAAGGCAAAGAGGATCATAACGGTCGGCCCAGCAATCCAACCTAGCTGGGCGATAGCCCATGCCAGAGAGAGAACACCTGACCCTATTACTGCTGTTATTATGTGCGAACTTGCTGTCCACATTGTCCCTGCATTGCATATGCTACCAAATATGTTTAAATTATATATTTTTAAAATTTTATGACTAGCTTATATTCTGCTTTGCCTGTTCGTTTCAGGCGGCCATCGTCATCGAAGCACTTGGAATATTCCGGCGGGACGTTGCTGGTGTCGGAGCCTTGCTGGGTCTTTGGCTGGGTTTCAATCTGAAAGTAGGTCCTGGCTTCGCGACTTTCATCGAGCTAATTTTGACATAAAATGTTGAAGCAGTCACTCAGTTAGTATCCAATAAATCAACGTCTACTTACTAAGCAGAATTTGAAATTTTCATATGCATTTAGGAAGACACTACATATACGCCGAAAATGAGCCACTCAAACAGGCGAAAAATTCACAGGTATTTTACCGGTGGATTTTCCTCCGAAAAGCCTGCTGCCAATAATAGGAACGATGACGTTTCCGGCAGAAGGTTTGAGCCGGCATTTTCGGCGGATATTACGATGGTAAAGGGCATCGGTAATAGGTAGGCGGATTATCCGTCAGTATTGCCGGTGTATATTTCCGCCGGAAAGGTCAGCGGATTATACACCGGAATTCGACGCCAAAGACGATGTCGTTTTCCTCAATTTTTTCGCCAGAATACCCGCCGGAACATTTTCCGGTGAAAATATTTCGCCGGTTTAGCTTTTCCGACGCATGAATTACCATCGAATCATTATATATGAAAATACGCCAGAAAGCACATATTTCCGGTGGATTTATATTATTACAGGCCGATAACAAAGCATTTTCCTTGTATGACAGAAATTTATCATGTCAGCACAAGTTGAATGAGCTAAACAGAAATATAAATCAAACGTACTACACTGTCATGAATCCTTGGAGGCAAAGTTCTACTTCTTGGCAACATACTTGCTGATCACTACACCTGGAGAGAGAGAGAGAGAGAGAGAGAGAGAGACAGAGAGAGAGAGAGAGAGATGGTGAGGCTAGGTTCTACAAGTGGAAGGGCCTTTTATAAAGAGAAAGGGGGTGGAGGTGGAAGAGAAGCAAAGCCAGAGGGAGCCATAGCGAATACTGTAACCCTTCAGAACAGTTAAAATAGTAATCCTCGTCTCATAAAGTTAAGTGCATTGACAAAAATAACCCTTACTGCATTTATAATGTCTTCGAGCTGGATGTGGTTTGTGCTATAGAGGGTAAATGTTAGACTTGTAGCTATGTAACTTTTCTTTTTTAACTGGTGTGGTGGGACCGGATAAGGTCAACCTGAAGTCTCCGCGGCTAACAGGTGTCCTCCGAGACAAAGGGGATTTGTTTTTTGTTTTGTTTTTTTTCTTTAAATACATTTAGTTTAATTAAGATGAATTCACATATAGAAGTTTTGAATCAAATATCTATTGATTGGAAGCCAAAAATTTTAACCAATAAATCAATGTGAGGTGTGAGTCACGAGAGTTTTGTGCAGGGTGAAGAAGGCAAGCACTGGACATAACTATGAATCGCGGGGGAATTATTATGTCCGGTGATCGGATCGTTCGGACACCAATTCAGATGTACCACGTCACCCGGATACACTGGACCCCGAGTGTATCTGGGTGACATGGCACGTCTGGATTGATGTCCAGAGGAATCCGAACACCAGACATAATAATTTTCCGTGAATCGCAACCTTGCATTTTCCCTACCGGTATTGGCCGGATAGAAATCTTTGTTGTTGAGTTTTTTTCTTGCAAAAATATTGTACCGAATATCTTTAATATAATTTATATCAGAATAAACAAATAAAAGAATAAATCAGAATTTTCATTATGATATTTAAAAAAAATTATGATAATTATTATGTTGATTATATATAAAGATTTTAATATTTTATTATATCTCATCAACTATTTTCATCTATTAGGGGTGTCAATATTTGAAAAGACTACAAAATCTGACTCGAATCTGACTCAAAAAATTTGGGTTAGGATCACCCCGTTTCACAAACAGGTCGGGTTCAGATTCACCCAACAACCCAGGAGACTGCCTTTACCCGTCCAAGCTGACCACACTGCCCGCAGTTGCATCCGCGCTACCCGCCATCGCATCCCGTTGCTCGTGACGTCGTGATGTCATCGCCTGAATTGCCAACGGTTGCATCAGCGCTACCCGTCGTCTTCCCCGACTTGTCAAGCCCGCATTTTGTCTGCACGCGTCCGCTTCCTAGCGTTGAGAGAGCCATTGAACACGCTAGGCCCTCATAAGTCTGCCTAGGGGTGTCAATTTCGGGTCACGAGTCCGGTTCGGGTCGAATCCAAAATTGACCCGGCATTATTTGGGTCAACCCGAACCCGACCCATTTTCACAAACGGGTCGATTTTCCGGACCCAAACCCGACCCGACCTGAATAATTCGGAACGAACAAAAAACTGCTAGTTTTCATGTCCAAGAACGGGTCAATCTATGCTTTTTGGGTCAAAAAGGGTCAATCTCAGGTTGCCAATTTAAAAACGGGTCAACCCGAATCCGACCTTATTTTTGAAACGGGTCGAATTTTTGAACCAGAACCCTACACGTTTCGGGTTTGGGTCAACCCAAACCCAAAATTTTCGGGTCGGGTCCAATATTGACACCCCTACGTCTATCAGACTCGGCATGCCAGCGTCCGTCGAGCCCGCGCCAGTATACCAGGTTTACAAAACCGTGTCGGGTCAAGTCAACCTAGCAACCCGACGGGCCAGGGTCCGGGTTCATGTTTTTGACTCATTTGCAAAATCGGGACGGGTTCAAATTAACTAGTTTGAACTTAGGTCAATTTCGATTTCGACTCAAACCTAACCCAAAATCCAAATTTGACACCCCTACCATCCATTATATAAAGGTAAGAGAAATTTCACATGACATAAATATATATAAGTGCAAAATATTCACAAGTGTATTTAAATTTTGGCATATTTCTTGAAAAAAAAAAAAGAGTGTGGGACATAGCTATAGCACATGATATCTAAAAATTAGCACCACTCACAGTTCAATTTCGCATTGATATAGGATGAAACTATTGCCACTGTCGTCCGTACTTTGTAGTGCTCGACTTTGACAAACCTGTTGACATAAAATAGTAACGATGAAAATATTGAACCACTTTTGCATTATAATGAAAATGGGCACACATGTCCTATATTTTGAATATTTCAATTTGATTTAGAACTCATTAATAATTAGTGGCCAAAATAGTGATAAAAGTTATATTATAATTTTATAATTAATATTTCAAGTGATCATATGTGATATGTTTTATGGTTCTCTTTTGACGAGAAGAACCCATAAACTAAGAAAGTTCAGTATAATATTTGTGCAAATGTTATAAATCAAAGTGGGTGTCAATAACATATATCAGCCTTATTTGCGATTTCGAGCATTAATATTGTTGTCGACGACATATAAAGAAGTAGTGGGCATCACTCTTAGTGTCGATGTCATGTACTAACCTGAAGCGATGGAATGCTTTGATATTGTCAGAGACGACACACGATAAAGACCAATATCATTGTAGTTGGACAATAACAGTTAGATGAATGTGGTCATGAGATCGTAGTCGAGTGATAGTGGTAAGGACTATAATTGGGCTTCAATAGTCAAGACGATTATGATCTAAAGATTGTAGTTGGGAGACTATTATGAGACTATTATCAAGAGAATGTTGTTGAGCCACAATATTCGAGCGGCGATTTTTCAGGTGATTTCAAGTGAGCCATGACGATTGGCCAATGGTGGTCAAGCTACGGCGGTAGCTGATCGTGATCATTGAGATTAAGTGCAGGTGGAGGTTTAAGATCTCTCAAAATTTTGATCAAGGTCCCCTCTCATGTAAGGAATGATGGTTATTCATATTTTTTAAAGACTAGCATTTTAGTAAAATAGATGAAATCCTAAAAGACACTTGATCATGGATTGATTTGTTAGATCCAAATTTATTTGTGAATGACACCTGACTCTACTAGTAGGCAAACCCTTAGAAGAGACTTGAAACCTTGTGAGAATAAACAAAAAGATGAAATAATTAAGAAAAGCTATAAAAAACTATAATAAAAGTATTCAAATATTCAATCGATCAATATAGAGTTCTAGAATATTCAAGAGATTCAAAATATGCAAAATTCTTCTCATGATCCCTTATTTATAGGATTTTGAGAGCTACATAAAAGGCTATATGCCTACACCCAAGAAAAGTAAAATTACAATATTGTGCACACTACTCTATATATGTGTTGCCTCCTAGTTGGCTGAGGGAGTGCAGGGATGCATAGTTTTGATGATTTTTCCTTGGGAAAACTCAATAGCGTTGAGTATAAACTAGGCAAGCTCTTTAGTGTGAGCAAGAATGGTAGTGTCGAGTAGGTATTGGCAAGTTTGTGACCGAGTTTCAAAGAAGGATTGTTTGATGGCTGAGTGATGTTTAGGAGTCGCTGGCAACCTATGCTGCTGAGACTTGGATTGCCTAGAAGAGAAGAGAATTAGATGAGGTTGTGTAGAAGATGGCTTCAGTAGTTGGATGGTCACATCAAGGCAAGTTGAGGGCTCCCTAAGTAGGCACTTTTCTCTAGTTGGGCTTGAATATGTAGGGACGAAGGCACCCACCTCAAGTGAGGTTGATCCACTATGATAGTTATCTTTCTTCCATGGGACGAATGACGAGTTACTTGGTCGATATGGTCCTCCATTGCACTCGAGAAGGGTATCCTTCCTTGGCATGCCTAGAGCGAGTGGGGTCTGATGTTCCTTGGACAAATTTCTTTGTGATGCCCAATAGATGTGAGTTCTTTCCTCGAATTAAGTAATGTTGAACTTGTTTAATTCATTTCATCATGATGCTCATTTTGACCTCAAGCTTATGAAAATTTAAGTGCATTTTATCTTTCAATTAATATTCCAAAATTTCTAATATTATTTTAAGTAATTGATTCGGCTCAATCTAATTGAGATTTCATCATTTTTAGTGTTTATGGATTCATCTGATTGAGACGTTTAGTTTAACTATAAATTTCTTGAAATTGGAGTTCACATGATATTAAATTTAATTTAGGAATTTTCCAATTCAAATGTGCATTGAGATTCATGCTTCATGAAGTTAATTTTTTTATGATGTATTAATTATATTTAAATTTTAACTAAGTAATTTTTAATTCTATATTTTAAATATTTATGTCAAAAGAATTAACCTCAACAATACTATAAATTGAATTTTAAAGCTTCTGGAACTGTTAGAAGACCGGACTAAAACCAAAAACATTTTATCTGTGTCTGCTTGAACCTATAAATATTCTTTAAATGAAAGGCCGAGAAGAAGAAGCATGAGGATCATATGCCACTTAAACTTAAAAAACATAAGGCACTAAAAAGAGAAATAGAAGGAGAAAAAGATGTATATCAATTTAGATTAAGGCTTCGTTTGGGACAGCTTTTTTATTGCTTTCTAAAACAGAGTTTTAGTAGAATTTTTTTTATTTTTTATTAAAACTCCGTTTTAGAAAGCAATAAAAAGCCATCCCAAACAAAACCTAAGGCTTCGTTTGGGACGGCTTTTTTACTGCTTTCTAAAACGGAGTTTTAGTACAAAGTTTTTTATTTTTGTATTAAAACTCCGTTTTAGAAAGCAATAAAAAAGCCG